ATACGCTCGACGATATATATCGCAAAAATTAAAGGCTAGGCTAAAAGTATCCTTTTTTAGCTTTTTTTATTTATGTTTTTATCGATTTTTCTTTCATTTGTCAATTAATTTAGACGTTTCGATTAACTCTTTCACCCATTTATTAGGTATACAGAAATCAGTCATCCGACTGAACAAATAGGGCCGGTTTTCCCCAACCGCCACGCATAGGCCTTACTCTCAAAATTTTCCTTCTTTCCTCTGGAAAGGGACTTTTAACACGAACTTTTCTCTTCCCCATAGTGTACTAGCTAGACTTCTTCACTGCTAAGCTGATGTAAGACTTATGACCTATTACCGCACACGTAATCGGCTTATAACTCATTAACTGTGCTCCGACCCCCTCATGGCAACGGCCCTTAGTAACAGAGGCGTGGCTTAGTTGTCAGCCTGACTGGGGCGCGTGCCGGTTGAAAAACTCATCAAAAGACGCATTTTGCGATGCAAATTCATAAAAATTATTACATCCAACGTTAGATACTTTTTTGATTAATATAAACACACAAAAAACTCAAAAACACCATTTTAAGCGTATTTAACCCTATCACCGACCTTAACAAAACTATTAATAATAAATGTAAAACATGTTAACCCTTAATAGTATCAGCATAAATATTGTATACAGTGTTGTTTTAGTTTTAAGTATCCCCAAGTGTGTTAAGTTGTAATATATATAGCAGTAAGTGAGGAATACTTTCCCTCCAGGTGGTAGACAAGCTTCAGGCTCTGAATGATGAACTGGAGGCAATGACACAGAAGAAGAAGGAGCTGGAAGACAACATAGATCTCTGTGAGAAGAAACTGGACAGAGCAGAGAAGCTGATTGGTGGTCTGGGGGGTGAAAAGACTCGGTGGACAGAAAATGCCCGTGTTCTTGGCGCCACCTATATTAACATTACAGGTGATGTGCTGCTGAGTAGTGCGGTGGTGGCATATCTGGGGGCATTTACTGTGGACTTCAGACAGGTAACACTGCATCCAGTTCTGCATGTACTGACTCTAATGTTTAACAAAAGTACATGTTTGTTCATTGTTCTTTTTCGTATTACTTTTTTTTAAGTGAGGTGAGTATTGTATTAACCAAGACAAGTAATATTGTGTGAGATGAGACAAGTTGAACTTGACATTGTTTTAGATGAGATAAGTTGTACTTGACATTGTGTTAGATGTGACAAAGCACTGCACTGAATGTGTCTGTTGCAGGATGTGACCAAAGATTGGCATGACCACTGTGTGGAGAAGGAAATCCCATGTTCTCCAAACTTCTCCCTTAATGTCACTCTTGGTGAGCCTGTCAAGATCAGAGCCTGGAACATTGCTGGCCTTCCAGTGGACAGTTTTAGTGTGGACAATGGTATCATTGTGGCCAACTCCCGTCGCTGGCCACTCATGATAGATCCACAAGGTACTGCTCTGTTCTTACTTATGGCAATGTGGACCAAGGTTTTAAATAGCTAACACACATACAGATGTCTGTGACAGGATTATCTGCAGTTTTCTATGGCTTATAGTAACACATTCATCTCTATCAGTTCATGGAAACAATCCCAATCACTGTGTATGGTTCTGATATGGTTGTTACTGTATGTTTTCTTCAGGGCAAGCCAACAAGTGGGTGAAGAATATGGAGAGGGAAAACAATATGAAGATCATCAAATTGTCAGATCCTGGCTATGTGAGAACCTTGGAGAATTCTATTCAGTTTGGACACCCAGTTCTACTGGAGAATATAGGTGTGTTCTGGGTAACTGATCTAGTAGAATACAATAGGCAGTACAGCTTGTGATCAGATGACAATGCCATAATATATTAGTGTTCTATGCTGCAAACCTGAATATATCCAACATATAGGTAATGTAATGTTACCATGAGTCACTGTAAGTATCCTGGTTCTCAGTGTCCCCTAGCAGTAGTTTTACTGTTTCTAAGTGCTGCCATCTATTGTGTATTTCTAGGAGAGGAGCTGGATCCCATCCTTGAGCCAGTCTTGCAGAAGCTGACCTTCAAAGTTGGTGGTGTGGAGATGATGAGACTGGGAGAGAACATGGTGGAGTACTCTCAGGGCTTCAAGTTCTACATGACCACCAGGCTGAGGAACCCACATTATATGCCTGAAGTCTCAGTCAAGGTACAGCTCAGTGTGAACACTGTTTGTTTTCAGTGAAACCATGCTACATATGAGGAATATTTTTATTTTATTTGTACGTTATTTTATCTACAAGGTAGATATTCACGTGATTGTCTGTGTTTTACAGGTGTGCTTGCTGAACTTCATGATCACTCCTAAGGGTCTGGAGGACCAGCTGCTGGGTATTGTGGCTGCTAAGGAGAAGCCTGAGCTGGAAGAGAAGAAAAATCAGCTTGTCTTGGAGAGTGCTGCCAACAAAAAGCAGCTCAAGGAAATTGAGGACAAAATTTTGGAAGTGCTTTCTAGTTCAGAGGTATGTAGGTCAAGCAGTAGAAAAAAAACACTTGTTTTATAAGTTGAGATTTTTCATGACACATTTTTTTACCTTAACTCACATGGCAGACCCAATCTTTGCTAAAAACAGTGAAGTGAACACAGTGAATATGTTCACATTTGTACTAATTTCAGGGCAACATTCTGGAAGATGAGACAGCCATCAAGATCCTGTCCTCCTCCAAGACTCTCTCTGAGGAGATCTCAGCCAAGCAGGAGATAGCTAATGTCACAGAGAAAGAGATAGATGAGACAAGGAGCGGGTATCTCCCAGTGGCTGTTCACTCCTCCATACTGTTCTTCTGCATATCT